ATGCTCAGTGGACTGAGCCACCCAGGTGCCCCATGAGAGGCTTTTAGTGGTGATTATAGACTGGCAGTTTCAGGGCGGAAGCAGGGACCACACTTGAGGACAGTAAGCCAATTTGTGCATTTACACTATGTTACAGAAGCAGATGCTAGAATTCTAGCCAGAAGGCCCCTGGGAATTCTCAGAAATCTTAAGAAAAGCAATGACATTTCCATGAGCTTGGAGAAGGGAGCCGACTTAGGAAGCAACAGGCAGGCCCTGCTCTGGAGTTATTACTGAGCACAGCACGCAGAGAGTACATCACCTGGAGAAGCAGAGCCCGTCCTAATTTCCAAAAGCAGCCTTCAGGCGAGAGGATGGGTAACCAGCTCTTTGGGGTTAATTTCTCAGAGGATTCAGGATTTCTGACAAAATCCTAAAATGCCATTTTGCCGTTTTTCTTCATTACTGCAAGCCATCTGCTTCTCTCTTCTGTAATGATTTGGGATGGGGTATTTCAGGGGCTTCAGGCTTAATTAAACCTGAAAAATAAATTCGGTGTCACTCAACTTCAGGTATGATATCAACATTATAGTGTCTATCATTCTATTCCATGTAGTTACTGGATTTGTATACCTCCTTTTTTTTTTTTTTTAAGATTTTACTTATTTTATTGCGAGAGAGAGAGAGCAAGCGAGAGCATGCACACAAGCATGAGCAGAAGGAGGGGCAGAGGGAGAAGCAGGCTCCCTGAGGAGTAGGGACCCTGACTGAGGGCTCAATCCCAGGACCCCAGGATCATGACCTGAGACGAAGGCAGACACTTAACTGACTGAGCCACCCAGGTGTCCTCTCCTTTCTTTTAAGAAAAATAAAGCCCTCTTGAAAAATCTCTTGAAGAACATCCCTCATATTTTAATATTTAACAAAAACCCTTATGACAAGGAAAGGAACCCAAAGAAAGAGGGTTATTGGAGGAGAGAACATCCTGAAGCTCAAATGTTGAACATTTCTCCAAGACTCTATTTGGCCGAGTCATTACATATTTGAAAGTCATGCCTGGGTTCTTTCTTGTAAGTCACTGTGTCCATCAAAGGAGGCACTTGGCTCTCCCTGTAGCCCCAGTGTTCGACATGGTCAATGTGCTATAACTATTTGTTGACTTGGGCATTCCTAAGAGATTGTTAACACTGAGAGGTTAATTGGGATCTAGTTCTAGGAAATTCCCAAAGGTAAAAATACTTTGGTGCAAATGAAGCCCCTGATCACAAGGTCCTGAATTTCCTTGTTCTTTACTAATTTTGATCAAGATTCAGGAAGGCAGAGGGGGTAATTCCCAGGGTGGGATTTGGGGGAATGTAGGGGAAGATGGCAGAGGGCTGGGGTATTTGTCCGTGCTATCTACACACATTAAGGTTAGTGCTTTTAGACCTCCTTTTGCCTGTTTTCAAAAACGTCATTACCAAAAGTTATTCAAAATAACTGAATGATGAATAGACTTTGTAAAATGTCCATTACCCACTGAATTAGATACTGTCTTGTATTATTCTCCTTACTTTTATCGCTATACCTTGAGTCTCAAATAGATGTTGAATTCCATGAGAATAGGGCTCTATCTTTCCCATCTCAGGCCCCTGCTGCAGCCCTCTGTGGCTCCATCCTCCCTCCACTACTAGCCCTTCCCCAAGTTCACCAATACCTCCTGTCTTTAGGCTCAGTACACTTGCTCAGTTGCATAAATAATGGATGAGTCAACTGGAGCTTCTTATCCCTTAAGACATAGAGGAGATTGTCTCAAGGAACACCCGGTGCCTTCTCCCAGCCTTTTGCACATTCCTGGGAGGACCTATGTTCTGGGTTACCTCTTGTTCTGACCTCCTGTTCCTATGAATTAGTTCACCTTAGGGCTTGTCTTGCTGTTTCTTATAACCTAATTGTGAGACCCAGCCATTTCCTTATTTTCTGTAAATTTGCATGGACATATATTTGTATGTATGGCAGACTTTATTTTTACCAAAAATTCAGGAAGACAGTAGGCTATGTATCACAGAAAGACAAGTTACTTTACTCATTCTTTATAGCCTCCTTGGTTGTGTTCTTAAAAATATCCTTCTGGGGCCACCTGGGTGACTCAGTTGGTTGAGTGTCCAATTCTGGATTTCAGCTCAGGTCATCTCAGGGTTGTGAGATCAAGCCCCACATCAGGCTCCACACTGGGCATGGAGCCTGCTTGGGGTTCTTTCCCTCTCCCTCAGCCCTTCCCCATCCTTCACCCAAGCTTGCTCTTTTCTCTAAAAAAATCCTTCTGCCATTTCTTCTGTCAGGTTATGTAACCTCCTCTCCATCTTCTCTCTTCTTCTTTTCCTTTCTCTTAGGAGAAAACAAAACGTACAACTGTCCTTTCCCCCACAACAATTCTTCACATTTTCTGAGCCTCCTGTACATCTTCAAGGATCACACTAAAGTTTTAAAATTACCACCCCAAGGAAAGGCTCTTCTTAAATTCTAAGACAGATCAACTTCCATCCTAGTATTTGTCTAGATATTAATTAGTGGGAGGATATGGTGATGGTTTAGTTTCATAGTTACTCTGATTCCCACTTTCCCCATCTATAAAATGGGAATATGCTAGCACTTGCCTCAGAGAAGGGATGTGAGAATGAGTAAGTTAATGTGCAAAGTCCTTAGCACAGTGCTTGGTTCATGATCTACCTATTCCTATTTGTTCCCACTCTTCTTATTGAAGTCCAAATCAAGGGCTAGCAACCCCATGGAGGCTTTTGTGAGCTCCCCTAGCCAGAGCTAATCAGTCCTTCCAATTGCTCCCTCCCTCCATGCATTCTTGTGGCACTGGCTTTACACTTCCCCTCAGGCAGATTGAAGCACTCGGATGCCTAAGGCAAGCCCCTAAGTGAATTTTCAGTCTGAAGGGAAGATGGACATGGGCATATAAAAAGGGAATGGCCCAAGGAAGCTAGGAATGGGTAGAGGGAGGGCGAGCAAGGAGGTACATTCTCCAGCTCCAGGGTCTTGAGTTCAAAGTCAGGAATGTGATCATGTTCCCAGTGTTGTCAACCCTGAATACCATTATGCAGTTCTTGTGTCAGGTTTTCATCTGTTGCAAATTTTACCATGCTGTAGTTTTAGGGCTTGCCACTGTTACACTGTGTTGATTATTTCAACATGTGTGTATCAGTCAGGACTTGATCAGGGAAGCAGAACTACTATGAGTTATGGGATAAGGAATGTATTATAGGAAATGGACCTTACAGAATTTTGGGAAGAGGTAGGGAAGAAAAGATATGAAAAGGGGAGCTGAAGACTCAGAGGAAGGTCACTAACCAGACCTGGCTTACAGGGAGATGTGGAAACTAGGCAAATCCAGCTGCTGGAGTAGAATTGGGAGGAGGGCTGGGGTAGAAATCCACAGGGGACTGTTGGCTCTCTATGATGGCTTCCTCTGTATGTTCACAGCACAGCATCTGCTGGCAGGCCCAGGGTTGCTGCTAGCAGAGCAGGCAGACTGGCAGGAGGGTTGGGTGCAGAGTCGGGAAGGCTGAAGGCAAAATGGAAACAGCTAGCACATCTGTCCATCTCCCACCACCTCTTACTGATGACCACCTTTAGACTGAAATGTTACCTGCTTCATTTCTGCTCTCTAAATCTCATACTACTTCACTTTTGGCCAACTCAACTCAGAGTCACACAGAGAAAGGAATTTTAGGAAACAGCTCCTAGTAGAACAATCCAGCAAAACATTCATTCTGAATCTCAGTATTCACTGCAAATTGGAAAAATGGCTGATTGCTAACATCTACTTCTTGGAACAAAGAATAAATAACAAAGAGGGAAAAGTTATAGGATCTGGGAAAATGGCACAGTCGGATTTTTGGAACAAACAGTCCATAATCAGACTCATACATCTATACATAGGTAATATATGATATAGTTCTGCAGAACAGTGGAGAAAGGATAGTCTTTTCAGACAAATGGTGCTGAGCCAATTGGATGTTCAAGTGGAATAAATATTAATTTTGACCTTCTATCTCACAGTACATATAAATATCAATTCTAAGCACATTATTGATCTTAAGAAAGGAGACTATTGGGATGCATGACTGGCTCAGTCTGTAGAGCACGTGACTCTTGGTCTGACTTCAAGCCCCACGTTGGGCATGGAGCCTACTTAAAAAAAATAATAATTAGAATTTTTTTAATTAAAAAAAGGAGACTATCTCCATGACAGATTACCCAAGATGGGTAAGATTTCCTAAATAGAACCCCCAAACCACTAATTGAGAAAATACAGAACAATTATAAAATGCAATTGTTGTATGGGGTATAAATTACCTCAACCACTTTGGAAAACTGTTTGATGGTGTCCACTAAAGTTGAATATATTCACACCCTGTGTTCTAGGAATTTCACTTTTAAATACACCCTGTGTTCTAGCAATTTCACTTTTAAATACAATATAAATATGTATGTAGGCTTACCAAAGTATTTATTTAAGAATGTTCATAGCTGCTTTATTAGTAGCCAAAACCAGGAAGCAAGCTAAATGTCCATTAACAAAAGAGCAGATAGGGGTGCCTAGGTGGCTTAGTCAATCAAGCATCTGCTTTTGGCCCAGGTCATGATCCCAGGGTCCTGGGATTGAGCCCCATATTGGGCTCCCTGCTCAGCAGGCAGTCTGCCTCTCCCTCTCCCTCTGACCCTCCCTCCTAGTCATGCTCTCACTTGCACATGCTCTTTCAAATGAATAAATAAAAATCTTTAAAAAAATTTTTTCTGAAAAAGAGCAGATAAATAAGTGTAGGTAGGTATATGGAATACTATGCAGCAATGAATATGAACAATTACTGTTCCATGCAAAACACAGATGAATTTCACAAACATGATTTTGAACAAAGGAAGACAGACACAACTAAATATATAGTGTGTGACTCTATAAAGCTCAAAATGGGAGAGGCAGGAGCAACACGGGGAAGACAGAACTGACCTGGAATGCAGCCTGTACCACCATGAGCCTCCTCAACAAGCCCAAGAGTGAGATGACCCCAAAGGAGCTGCAGAAGCGGGAGGAGGAAGAGTTTAACACAGGTCCGCTCTCTGTGCTCACACAGTCAGTCAAGAACAACACCCAGGTGCTTATTAACTGCTGCAACAAGAAGCTCCTGGGCCGTGTGAAGGCCTTCAACAGGCACTGCAACATGGTGCTGGAGAATGTGAAGGAGATGTGGACCAAGGTACCCAAGAGCAGCAAGGGCAAGGAGAAGTCCAAGCCAGTCAACAAGGACCACTACATCTCCAAGATGTTCCTATGTGGGGACTCAATCATCGTGGTCCTGTGGAACCTGCTCATCACTGGCAAGTAGCAGCTTCCTCTGCACCGTCAGAATTTGCTCCCTCCTGCGAAGATCTGTCCTTTGTAATGAAAATAATCAAGTCCTGGGTTTTTTCTTAAAAAAAAAAAAAAAACTCAAAATGGATAAAACTAACCTATCATGCTAGAAGTCAGGATAGTGGTTTCCTTTAGATATGGGGATTAACGGCTGAGAAGAGGGTATGACGGGAGCTCTGGATGAGCTGGGACTATTCGGGTTTTGACCTGGAAGGTGGTTACAATCTCTGATAATTCATTAAACTACACATGTATGATATATGCTTTCTGTATGATTGTTTTACTTCAAATTTTTAAAAAGACTTATTTTTATTTTTTTATTTTTTTAAATTTTTATTTATTTATGATAGTCACACACACAGAGAGAGAGAGAGGCAGAGACACAGGCAGAGGGAGAAGCAGGCTCCATGCACCGGGAGCCCGACGTGGGATTCGATCCCGGGTCTCCAGGATCGTGCCCTGAGGCAGGTGCTAAACTGCTGCGCCACCCAGGGTTTCCAAAAAGATTTATTTTTAGAAAAAATTTTAAAATGTCCTGTGTTATCCATTACCAACTGTCATATCTAGTAGTCTTTTTCTTTTTACGTCTTTTATCATCCCTCCTACGTTATTTCCTACCCCCTTGCTCTAAAAATGTGTTTCCTTTCATAATTCTTCTTGCACCTTGGGCCGCTAACTTTATTGCTCAACAAATATTTCTTGAGTATCTCCAGTGGGCCAATCACTGAGCCAGGCCTAGAGTTTGTGATGGTGACTAAGCTACCAAAGACTTTGGGCTTTGACCTTTTGGAGCCCCAGCTCCCAATGAAAAGAGGCTTCTAAACAGGTCATTACATCATAACTGTCACTTCTCACCCCTTTTCGAAATTTAGGCTTTCCCCAGAGTTCTAGATTAGAGAGCCACCTTCTCAAAATCCACTGTCTGTGCCCAATAATGACCCTAATTTTCCCAACATCATTGCTGTGTAAGACCTCAGCATCAAATGTGGCAATTTCCTTCATCCCGCATCCCAAATTCGGCCTCATCCTACACATTTCTACCTCTGAAACATACACACCTACTCCTGTTTTCCATTCCTGTTGCTTCCAACCAAGTTGAAATCCTGACTCCTCCTGTTGCCTCCTCATTTAGGATTGATTTGCAGAAATAGAAGCCCCTCAGGCTGGTTTGATCAAAACTCAGGTTTAGGTAGCTAACAAATTACTGAAAAATCTGGGGAAGACATTTGAAACAGAGCTTCCAAGAACAACCCCCAACCCTTGGAATCCTAATACCTCTGCCAACAATTGGAAATTGATTCCTGTCGCTATAGAAGTCCTTGAATTAGGAAGCAAGTGACCCCAGCACCTTGTTGCCTGTGTATCATCCATGTCCCCAAAATGGATCTTTGTCCAGAAGTCCAGCTACAAAGAGAGTTGTGACTTATTGTTCCCAGCTTTCCAACCTTAGGAGTACAGGTAAGAATGGATGTTGAGCATGCCAGATCTCACTGTCTCCCTCACTTCCTAGCTAGACTCCCAGCTTTCCCTGCTTTTGCCCACAATTTCCATTCTCTTCATTGCTTCTGGCTCTGATTATTATCACTCCACAGCTCAAAAGCCTCCTGTGACTCATCCTTTCCACTAAATTAGGTTAAAGTGCCCTCACCTGTCATTCAAGGCCCTGTGTGATCCATCCCAAATGGTTTTTCTGTTTTATGTCCTACTCCACTGCTACAATTTCCTTTACACATTCTGCTCATTCCCACTTCATGCCTTTGGACATCTTCTACCCCTTTCTGCCATCATTTCCCTTTAAAATACATAATTTATTTAGACATTGTGTCTGAAGACAGAGAGGTGGGCTAGAATCTTAACTCTGCCTGGGAAAATGAGATCATCCTGAACTCAAAGCGTCAGTTCTCTGCCCTGTAAAATAGGGATAATAATAGTACCTACTTTACATGTTGGGATAGATAAGGTTACAGGTAAGAATCTAAGCTGTTAGTGCACACCCTCTACAGATGGTGACTTCAGTATTGCCCTCTTGACCTCTGTACCCCATCATTCAGGTGCTCAGTAAATACTTGTGTAATGAATGGACAAGCAAACCAAGCAGCAACAAGGGCCTTAGCTAACCTAAGGACAAACCAAGGTGATACTTGGTCCCTTCCTGGTCAGTATCACAGTCCTGGGTGGGGTCATACAACACAAGTATGAGTGGAGGAAGAGTCTCCACTTGTATTATCAAGTCAGGAGAAATAAAAGCTATGAATCTTAACAGTTAAGCTGGGATACAACCCCATGTTGTGCCATAGGAAGTTACTGGCGCCTCATGGATTGAAAACAGTTTGGCAAAGATTCCCTTCCCAAGATTTTATTTGGAGGCCTCTCATCTCTGTGCTTGGAGAAATAGCTATCTGAATACAGAAAGTGGAAGGAGGCAGGAGATCTCACGTCAGGTACATTCCCATCTGAACTCCAGTGGAAAATATTCATGCAATCTCAGATGTTGCTGGAGGAGTGAAAATTGATATGCCCCACTTTGGAGATCCATTTGGCAGTATTTATTAAATATGAAGATGCACATACCCTATGGCCCAGAAGTTCCACTTCTAGGTCTCCACCCTAGGAAGATGCTCTCACAATGAGACTCATTCAAGGAGACATTTATTAGATCCAGGAATTAAAACAACCCGAGTATTCACCAATGATGAATAAATAAAATGTGCATTTAAACATAAAGTACAAAATAGCAAACGGGAAGGCATGAACTAGATTTTTGTCTATCAATATGGATAGATACCAAAAGTATAATTTTGAGTGAAGAAAACAAGTTGCAGAGCAATGCTTTCAGAATATTGAATATGTAAGAGCAACAGATATATTGTTCAGGGATACATATCTGTACAAGCTTGAAACGATGGATTGAAGGGATACAAGCTGAATTCATCATTGTAGTTACTTTTGGAAAGAGGAATTAGACCAGGAATAAAGAGGACTTAAATTTTATCTATAATATTTTTTCTCAGGGATCCCTGGGTGGCTCAGCAGTTAAGTGCCTGCCTTCGGCCCACGTGTAATCCTGAGTCCTGGGATCGAGTCCCACATCAGGCTCCCTGCATGGAGCCTGCTTCTCCCTCTGCCTGTGTCTCTGCCTCTCTCTCTGTGTGTGTGTGTGTGTGTGTGTGTGTGTGTCTTTCATGAATAAATAAAATCTTAAAATATATATATATATATATTTCTCTTTTAATTAAAAAAAATCTTAAAGCTTTAGAGGACAGATACCAACAACTGCTTTTAGAATGATGTTTGGGGTATAAGAACTCTATTCTAATGAGAATGTTTCTTTTTTTCTCAGAAAATGAAGATATGGCTATGAGTCTAATTTACAGTCTATGTATGTGTGTTGTGTTGCACTGTGTTGGATGAGGAGGCATTGGTGAAACCAACCATGGTTGCACCACGGTTCCCAGCAGAATGTCCATTTGTAGGCAACAGAAATTAATCATGGCCATGGCATTTAAATTTGAACAACTTAAATGCCTATGGACCTTTCTGACTCTCTGATGAAAGCTATGTCCTCTTGGTTCTAGGGGTAAAAATACTCATACACACAATTTGGCATATAATATTGTGGAGTCTGTAAGCCTCAGGTTAAATCTGCACTACTTCAGGATATCTGGAGGTTGGCTTTTTTTGACCTCTAGAACATCTATTAGAAATGCATGGCAAAGAGACCAGAGAGACTTGTTAAAATAATATATAAATACAATGCTGTATTTGCAGAAAGACAGTTTGAAGTGAGGGAGGGAGTGAGAGAGAGACAGAGTGTGTGTGTGTGTGTAAAAGCTGCTTAAACCCTAAAAAAAAAATAAATAAATAAGCACAGCTTCTCAAGAGCTCTTAGTTTGCATCCTGAAGTATAATGCCAGTGTAAATGCCAGCATCCCCAGCATCTCAGTCCTTGGGATTTGCTTCTCTTACCCTGGAGCAGGAAGTTTAGAGAGACCTGTTTGGTCTCAGTGATGTTTGTTCATACTGCAGGGACCACACAGTGTCCAGCTGGCCGCAGGCCAGCCTCTGTCATCCCTTGCTGGAAGGCCTCAGGCTCTCACCCAACATCCCTGATGAGACAGAGCATCCCCATGCAGGGCACACATGGCCCCCTTTTACCCCCTTACCTCAGGTGGGGACCAAGATGGCTTTTGAAACTGAACATTTTTTTAAAAAATCATTTTGGTATTGGGAGTTTCTGAATTTGATGTCTAGCAAAGGAATTAAAATACAGGAATGTGATTGAGCAATGATTTGAAATTTTTAGGTCTGCTCCATCTTTTCCAGTTGATAACGAAAGTCTGTCGAGGAGGGTGACAAGCTGCCAGCTCCCCCGAGGGCAGCTTCCCAACAGTCGCCTTCCCATTGGCAGCACTGTGGTCAAAACACAAGAGAGTAATGAGACATTTAGAGGAAACTTAATCTCTTCCAAAGACCCAAAGTCAGATGTAGCCCTTAAATATTTTATAGGAAAATATTTGCGAAAAATGTGACTTGGCAATAAATCACAAGATGGTACTCATTAAGGTTACTTGCTGACTGAGACAACTGGAATAATGATCCAGGCCCAGAATTATTTTGGAGCCATGAAAAATCTATCAAGATATATGCATAAAATCTTGTTCTTTCATTTTGCTAAGGCGATCTTTTTTGGATTGTGTGAATAAAGCCCAGTTTGCTCCACTCTGAAATCCAGAGAAGCAGCGTGACCTGGGGCAGCTCATGCAGAGCCCTCTCTCCATTTTTGTTGAAACAGAAGAATTGGCCTCCTTGTCCTCATTGCAACCAACTCTCCTTCAGAATCCCACCTCTGCAGGTGAGGGCGGATTTTAAAGAACTCCTTGCCCATAGAAAAGCTGTTATTCCCCAGGCCTCCCCAGGAACCTCCTGAAGCAGGCTCTTGTTTAGAAACCCATCTAGGAAATGCACCCAGCCCTGGGCAAGCTCTCTGGGGAAAATATTTATTCCCAACAGATGCTCACCTGGAAGTTTTGGGAGACAGATGGCAGTTGTACACTGTGTGCCTCTACCCCTGAGAGAATATCCTGAGTGCCCCTATTGCGCATGGTGCTTTCCTTTTGCTTACAGGCTCCATTCTGCTAACTTGGATGCTAAGGCCAATGTCAGTGGCTTCTATCAAGAGCAGTGGTTCTTGGGCAGCCCAGGTGACTCCGCGGTTTAGCGCCACCTTTGGCCCAGGGCCTGATCCTGGAGACCCCAGATCGAGTCCCAAGTCGGGCTCCCAGCACGGAGCCTGCTTCTCCTTCTGCTTATGTCTGCCTCTCTGTGTGTCTCTCATGAAGAAATAAATAAAATCTTTAAAAAAAAAAAAAAGAGCAGTGGTTCTCAAACATTAGTTCAGAATCACCTGGAATGCTTATTGGTACAGAGGCTATCAGGTCCCATCACCAGGGTTTTTGATTCAGTAGGGCTGGGATGGGGTCCCCAAATATGCATTTCTAATAAGTTCCCAGTTCTTGATGCTGCTGCTCCTAGGACGGTGCTTTGAGAGCCACTGGTCTGTGCTTTTCATCTGAGATGCTCTTAATTCCTCAGCTTGAGTCTGGGCCCAGAATGTAGCCTTCAACAAACAGCCCTCCTCTACACAAACATCTTGGAAGGAAGGGTAGTGCAGATAGAATTAGCCAGACACAGAATCCAAAGTTATATATGGAACAGCTCTTTCATTTTATGTTCAGCAGAACATTCTAATTCATTCTGGAGACCACAAAGGGAGTCTGGAGTGGCTCCTCTGCTCACTCCCACCAGCTTGCCCTTTCTGGGGCTCTCACTAAGTAGGGGCCTCATTATGACCCTCAGGCACCCAGGTGGCAGCTCCTTCCCTTTGGAGGAAGACCCTTTCTTTCTAGACCTCCTGTCTTCCTTCCCTACATGGCCCCTCATTTGGTTAATTTCTTCTGCTGGGCTCTGCATTGTTCATTTCCATTTTGATATCACAAGACTTTGGGACCTGAGGTATGCAAGGTGGAAGGGGGAGAAGAGGCATCTCATCATTTCTGCCCTCAGGATGTGTTGTATACAGGATAATCAGGACTTTCATGCTGGCTGATTAACAATGCCATGCCTATGTCCTGTGGTATTATGGTAAAAGAGTCTCTGTTATCTTAGATCGAACTGTATCCAATCCTAGGGACAATTCCAGGAGGGGGGGATGGGGCGGTCTGCTGTTGCACAATAATGGGTCAGTGTGCTCAGTTGATCTCCCTGGTAACCGCTGCCTTACCCCTTAAAGGGCAGATTTAATGCTGGGAATCTCTACTTTCAGTAGCCGAGATGGTTTTGCAGAGATTTTTGTTACCCGTAGACCACACCTGGTAAGGTATCAGTTACTATTTTGTATGACTGGAGGTGTCCAACACATGGAACATATTCATGCTAATTAATATATAATTCCCTAGCCATAGTTCCAACCTGGCTGACCTCAGAATTACCCAGGAAACTACAAAAATATGTGTTCTGAAAAAATACCTACAACACAGAAAGTAAAGACATACTTGTTTTCTTAATATAGAAAGAGTTCTTACAAATCAATAACAAAAATAATAAATTGATAGAAAAAAGGACAAAAGTATGATTAGGGAGATCATACACCTACAAAAATTCTAATATTAACATGAAAATACAATTGCTATTATTCATAAAGGATGAACATCAAGTTACTATTTTTCACATGTCAGACTGGCAAAGATAAAAATGTTTAACAACATTAACAATTTATTACCAAGAATGTGAAGAAAAATTCTTACACATTGTTGGTGGGAGTACATGTTACCATAACCTTTTTGGACAACAGTTTGTCAATCTATGAAAATCTTACAGGCATATACCTTTTGGCCCAATGTTTCACTGCTCCTAGTTCAGCATAGTGATGCCTTAACACATGAATGAAAATGTATATACAGGATGTTCCTAGCAGCATTGCTTGTGATGGCAAAATGCAGAGGCAATCTAAATGGTTATCAATAAACAGTGGGTGAAATAAAGTATGTCATGGCCATTCACCGAAGCTCTCTGCCACTATAGAAGATGATGATGTTGATCTGTGATCATGTAACAATTTCCAAGATGTTATGTTAGGTGAAAACAGTAAGATGCATTAATGTGTTGTAGCATACTGTCATTTCTGTAAAAATATGGGTGATTTATACTGCATACATATATGCATATTCAGAAATAAGTGTAGATTATTTCTGAAAAGATTTGTAAGAAACTGGTGATAGTCTTCCCTAAGGGAAGAAAACTGATAGACTCTCACTACACACACACACACACACACACACACACACACACACACACACCCTTTGCATTGTTTGAATTTATTTTTACTATAAGCATGTTCTGTTTCATTTAATTAAAAATAAATATTCTCAAGCTCCCTCCCTAGACCAACTGGATTTTAGTTTCTGAGGTTTGGAGGCAGGAATTTATATTTTGAAAAAGAACTCTGGGTGGCTCAGTGGTTGGGTGCCTGCCTTTGGTTCAGGTCATGATCCTGGGATCCAGGATCAAGTTCCACATTGGGCTCCCTACAGGGAGCCTGCTTCCCCCAATGCCTATGTCTTTGCCTTTCTCTCTCTCTCTCTCTCTCAATGTGTGTCTCTCATGAATAAATAAATAAATCTCTTTAAAAAAAAAAAGAACTCTGCTGAGAGAAATAGCTGATTTAGAGTTGGAAACACAAGATGAGCTTGTAGCATCTTGTTAAGATGCTCAAAATGCAAAATGCATGTCAAAGGGACACAGAACTCAATCTGAAAAAGCTTCCAAGGACCAAAGCTGGAAAATCCAAGCATAAAATACATAGCATACTATTAGATTATAACCTAGAATGTAAAAAAAAAAACTGGTATACATGAATGATTAAATAAATTAATTAAATAAATGGGGAAGAAGAGATACACCTCCCTTACAAAAGAATTTCAAGAATTCCAAATAATTTATGTAGATACTCTCCACTCCAGGAAGTGAAGCTGAATTCCCACCTCCCCCTTGGTTGTGGGTTGTGCTTTGTGGCTCCAAAGAGTACAGTGTTGGAGTAGAGGAGTACTTACAGTGGAGAGACTAGCAAACACTCTGTTGGCCCAGTGATCAAGGTTAGCATCAACAGTGATAAATCTTGTTGAGAGTAGTACCTATGATAAAATGTGATAAGAAGGATACTTCCTCTGTGGTATTCTTCCCCCAATCTATAACCCTGGTATAACTATGGGAAAAATATCAAACAAACCCAAATTGAAGGGCATTCTACAAGATACCTGGCCAAGACTTTTCAAAGCTATCAAGGTCATAAAAACAAACAAACAAACAAACAAACAAACAAACAAAATAACAACAACAAAAAAAAAAAAAAGAAAGAAAGAAAGAAGCACTAAGAATCTATCATAGACCATAGGAGACTATAAAACACAATGACTAAATGTAATGTGGTATCCTGGATAGGATCCCAGAACAGGAAAAGGATATTGGTGGAAAAACTAGTGAAATCCACATAAAGCATAGAATTAAGTTAATAATTAAAAGCAAAAACAAATATCCAGACAGTTCCTATTTAGCCAGCTTGGCTCCAGGCTGCCATTAAGCAACTTTAGAATCACATCAATAGAGTGGAAGTTCTCAAACTTTGGTATGCTGTAGAATCACCCTGGGAGTCTGTTAGCACTCTAGATCCCACCATAGAAATTCTAACTGGGTTCATAGTGGGCTTAAGATATACATTTTTTTTTTTTTGACAGATCCTGCCGCAGGTCTATTTGTACAAATAGCACAGAAAGACACCAGGCCCATGCAGACAGAAGCCCAGGGGTCATACCAGTCCTTCCGTCCTCACATTGGCAGGCAGAAGGCTCTACACTGGAGCCTTTGTGGGGGCCTGGGCACCTTTGGGAACCTGCGCTGTAGGAGTAGGAGCAGGAGCTGGAGCCGGGATCGCAGCTGCAGCCTGGGCCTTGGTTTGAGCCTTGGCCTTGGCCTTTAGCCAGCAGAGCCTGAGACCTTTGGCAATGCGGGCACGAGCATGGTTCTCGAGCTTGGGGTGAGCGATGTAGGCAAGTCGATTGAGCTTGCTGCTGCCACCCTTTGGGATCTTGGGCTTAACCTCCTTGGGCTTGACAAGGGCCTTGATAGCCTCGGCACATGCAGTCATGGCCTTGGCATTGTTGGCCTGCATCTTCTTCAGACCCTTCTTGTTGTGCTTCTTGGCAAAGTATATGTTCCTCAGGAGCTTGGGGTCTACCCTCTTAAGAGATTCGTATTTTTGTGACTGGGGTTTCTTGATGCCATTTCTGTGCCATTTTCGTGACTGGTTGTATGTAGTATGGTTCTTGGATTTGGCCATTACTGCACCAAAGCCCGCGGCTCCCCAAGCACCTCCAATATACATTTTTTTTTTAAAAAACAAGTGCCAAGTTTATTCGTTCAACAGTTTTTGCCTTTGAAGTATTCATTGTGACATCCTTGAGATTCTTTGCTACCTTTGTGCTTTACCACACAACTGTAACCAACCACTCTAGGATTTTCCCTCTGTTAGTTTTACAAAGGTCTGCTCTTCCCCTAGTTTCTTATTCTCATGAACCTAAATTAGGTTAATTTGTTGTTCACCATGAAGGGCCTCCACCAACTTGACATACATAGACACATCACAGTTAGAAGCAAGCACACAAAGCTGGGCTTGGTGCCAAGACATGGGCAGCTTCACAAATTCCATGGACCAGGCCATGGTGAATGAGGGCAATCTTCAGCACCTCTTATAAAGCAGGATTACTGGAGTATTGCTATGGTGGTGTGTTATGGGTAAAGCCACATCTTGAATGGACCTTAGCTTCTGCCTCTGCGCAGCTTGTTGATGGCAGGAAAAGAGGAAATATGCATTTTTAATAAGCACTACTAAAAGCTTCTGAAACACTACATTTTAGGCACATTGCACTGGAAACCAAATCTGATATTCTACTCATAATTACTATGTCCATCAATAAGATGTGAGTTCAACTGGAACAAAAACCTTCTGAAGATAAAAAAGATCATGAACATCCATTCATTATGTAACATCTCTAGTCTATTTGGGACATTCAATGAGTTTCTTAATAGAATTCTTACCACCATTTGACATGTGATAAGTGTGAAATGAACAAATAATTAAAAATAAGGAATTAATAGGAAACCTCCTGACACATCCCTTCTGATCTGGTGTAACCAGGAGAGTTTATTTCCTATGGCACTTAATTCACTTTTAGGTCATATTCTTTTATTTTTCAATACAGACACAATGCCAACCATGAATTTGTTTGCAGAATTAGAGCCTGATATGTATATGTTCTTCTTTTAAAGATGTCCTATGCCCTCTTCAGGTTCTCCCTGCCAAGTTCCCTCTCCCTGGGACTGTTTTACCAAACCAATCCATAGCACCTCCACCCTCCCAAACACACATTCCTGCTCAAGTCTTAGCTTAAAGATCATTTCCTCATCCAGCCTCTCACATTGGTAAGGACCCCTCCAACATGGTCTGAGGACACAGGTCTGAGGACACAAAGTCATTCTTGTAATACTACCATTACTTAAAAGAAATCTAGAATTCTTTCTTTGTGCTTCGTTGTTTTTTTAAATCTGTTGCTTGTGTTCCAGTACTATCTAGTAGAACTTTCCAAGATAGCAGAAATTCTCTTTATCTGGGCTCAGGTTTTAATCCAAGAAATCTGTTGCCTGAGCCTGTGCCCTAAACCACCATGGAAAACTGCTTCTCAACAAATAATTAATTACTTCATTTGTAACTTATCTCTTCTGTTATTGTTTCTTCCTGGATTCATTCATTTGGCTGAGGGGGCAGGAAAAATCAGAGGAAAATCTCACACAAGAGATGACATTGGAGAAGGTTGAGAGTGGTAAAGAGGTGTTTCCTTGCAGAACAGAGAAAGGTCCTGCAGGCAGATATAACACCATGGACAAAGGTTCAGAGCTTGAAACAGCAAAGTATAGGAAGCCTCATAGTCAAAAACATTTAGTGTCTAAGGAAGACATGAATGGAACCCAACACAAAAATTTCATATAAGATAGGGGAAATTTTGATTAGAAGTTGATATTGGAAAGTGAAAAGAAAAATTATAAATATAATTTATATTGTTATATATATTTAACAGAAGTTAGGTAATAGCTGTGAGTCTGTCCTAATCTCTAGAATAAACAAAATTAGTTGAGTTAGGGCTTGGGAATCTGGTTTAAGAAAAAAAAGCATGTCTAGTAGCACATTTGATGACTAATAAATCCTTCATTTTCTCAACTGCCTTCCTTAGTCTATGATATTCAAATGTTTCTCTTTTGACAATCCTATTATGTCCATTTTTTCCTCTTCAATTGTAAACTGGTTTAACCCTGCAAGACTCTTATTTATCAGTGTTTGCTGGTGATTCTAGCATTTCTCCAACAATTTCATGAAACCCTGCATCAGAGTTATTCCTATTATGATGGTTTTTGTGTCCCAAGCTAACCAGGGACAATTGAGTAATGATTACCTGCTTAGGAATTGCCTATAGTTCAGTATGGCTGGAGTATTGAGTGTGAGGTAGGGAGCAGTGGGAAAATCTTGACATTTATCAGTTGAAGGCATTCAGCAAGTAACTGACTTTTTGACCTTCAGGTTTCTCTTCTATTTTGTGGAAGCCACTGCAAGAGTTCCAGAAAACTGCAAAAATGAAAGCATCTTCCAGGAAGAGATGGTCCCTCAGCAGACACTCCTGTTTCTCCTCTTCAATGCTTTGGCTATCCTGCATTTGGTAGCCACATTTAATTGATTAATTGATTTGTGCATGATTGGATTTTTTATCTTGTTACTATGTCAAATAAGCACAAAACCTGATAGATGAATTTGTATGCTGCAGAGGGACAAAGTAAGGAAACATTTATCAATTTTTAAGACAGGGGTTCCTAAGAAGCTGGTTTCCCATTGAATACAGAGAGAAAAGCAGAACAGAAATGTGAGATATGACATATGCTGAGGATGGTATCGCTGAGACTAAACAGAGCTGGCATCTGTAGGACATGCAAAGATTTTTTTATTACAGGGCGAAGGGATTCTGGAATCCAGCTCTTCCTGCATGTCATTCATTCTAGAGAAATAAATTAATTAGACAATGAAAGAGGAGGATGAGCATGCCTCATTGCAGTCTTAAAATTTAATTTGTAAATAAAAATAAGAAAATGGAGCTCATCTTGGGCTCTTCTGAGAATTATTGATAAATGTGGAACTCACTGACATCTAATCTGAAATGCAATTTTTATGTCTATTGTTTTCTAAAATCATTTTTGAATTCATATTTTAACATATTTGTTTTTGGAATATTTTATTTCCCTCAAGAACAAAAGAATTCTTGGAAAAGAATTATATGTGAAAATTAGCTGAGTGGTTTGCAACCATTTACAATGGAAATTTCTGTGCAGTGGCAGTAGTCTATAATGTAACATTTTGAATGTAATTCCCATTACTTCAAAGATAGCTCAGAGAAATCTCAGCAAGGTCCTGAATTTCTTTTTTTTTTTTTGATAGGTCCTGAATTTCTAATGAAAAACTGAAAATCGTAATGAGATTTGTTATGAGATTAGAATTATGAAATCATGGACAGAGGAAGAACAAATTTGAGATTTTAATCTTTGTGTTCTGTGTTCCAATCACATAGTAATAGTATCTTGAAAGAAATTTCTCATAATTTCCATGAGGTGATATTTGCAACTATTTTCCTGGAATGGGTTAATTTCTTGGAAATAAATCCCAAGGATGAATGATCATATCTAAAGGAGAGAAATGCTAATAGGCTGTCTTAATCATATACATCCTCCTTGGGAAAATTTTAACCAAGAATTGAGCACGTAAACATTAAAGGAATATTTAAGAAAATTGATGAGAAAAACTGTTTTGGAAGAGCAAGAGCAGATGTTAACAACAGGGCACAGTGAAAATCTAAGCTTCCCAACACAAATGTTGGAAAAATTCCACTCATCCTCTGTTCCTTGCCATTTCTAATTTCCCCTTAGAAGAGTGATCTGTTAGGTTAATTTTATTAATATATAAATAAACTTTTCTAAATGAATGAGAGAAAACTCAACAGTTCAACAGAGGACATGAACATGCAGTCACATAGAGAAAATGCTTTAAGTAGGCAATTATTAACTCAAAGAAAAAATAGAATGTTGTAAAAGAAATGCAATCTTCACAACTTAGCAGCAAATAATACTTATATAGAAATAATAACCTAAATGCTGAATTTAATGCACCTGTAAGTAGCTTATTGAACAAGGTTCTTGGAAGAACTTTCTGCCATCTTATTTTTTCAGCCCCCCTGGATAAAATATCAGACAATTTCTATAACTTTGCTAATTACTTTTAGATTATTAACAAATAGTCTCAATTTTTTTCAGGTTACCCAAAGTCCAAAGTAATCTGATGTCAGAATGTCAAGCTTTTATCCAGTTTATACTTCTCCTATCCCACAGCTTGGGCCTGATGCAGGCTTGAAATTTGCAGTGGGCAAGAAGTATGGGTAGGGATGCCAAATAAAACACAAAACGCCCAGCTAAATGTGAATTCCAGAATGCAACAAATACTTTTAGAAGAATTATGTCCCAAATATTGCATAGGATGTACTTACACTAAAAAAAAAAAAAAAAAAAGCACTCATTGTTTATCTAAAAGTAAAATTTAACAGGGCATCCTGTACTTTTTTTTTATGATAGAGAGAGAGAGAGAGGCAAAGACACAGGCAGAGGGAGAAGCAGGCTCCATGCACCGGGAGCCCGATGTGGGATTTGATCCTGGGTCTCCAGGATTGCGCCCTGGGCCAAAGGCAGGCGCCAAACCACTGCGCCACCCAGGGATCCCACATCCTGTACTTTTATTTTTTTTTTATTTTTTTTTTATAATTTTTTTTATTTTATTTATGATAGTCATCACAGAGAGAGAGAGAGGCAGAGACACAGGCAGAGGGAGAAGCAGGCTCCATGCAGGGAGCCCGACGTGGGATTTGATCCTGGGTCTCCAGGATCGCGCCCTGGGCCAAAGGCAGGCGCTAAACCGCTGCGCCACCCAGGGATCCCCATCCTGTACTTTTATATGCTAATCTGTCCACCCTGGGTAGAGGGTTGACACTGCTTTATTCCATCTTGCTCACTCTGCTGCCTCTGGCTCCTCTAGAGTTAGATATAGACATGGAAGGGATAGAAAGGAGAGGAAGGAAAGCTTTTGGCCTGCAGGGTTGTCATCCCTAATGGGTACCTTCCTTATATGTCTTAAGTCCAAAGCTGACCCACGGGAGCACCCTCATCTCTGGACGTGTTTCAGCTAGAAAGTGCCTC